ACCTTTTCTTTCCAGAGGGAAATGATCATGACCATTTTTCCTGGGTCATTCCTCCAACTCTGATCTTTTATATTTCATGTTGGAAACCACATCTAGGTCTTATTGTTGTTGGCCCTGAGATCATCCTTAGACTCAGATCTGTGATTGCGATCTCTTTTCTTACTTGAAGCAGCAGATCCTGGGGACTCAACAAATCTTTAACAGTCACTTTCCCTAGTTCCTTGGAGTTCTCTGAAGCCTTGCAGTATTGTTTCTTCACTGTCTTCCTGTAACCCCTGAAAATGAGGCCCTTTTTGGTTTAAGGGTTTTTATTGCTAATAGATATAAGGAAACAGATTGAGGATTACAAAACAGCAGACGTGGGAAAATAACAAAGCTTAAAAAATTCTTATAGTAGTAGTCCCCAATCTGTAGTTTCTGACTCTCTTAAAGATGTTATCTGAAAGTCCTGATATTCTGCCATTGGTTTTTATTTCTAGGGGTAAGACCCATCAAATCTCTCCCTTCTTTTTGACTTCACCTTTGGATACCATCAAGGCCAGAGGATGGAACCAAGATAACATAATATAGGTGCTCCTTTGTGATAATTGGCTATTTGTATCTCTGAGGGCTTCCACACAGGATGGCCTTTGGAAAAGATTATGTCTACCTTTCCTCACAGTCTGTCTCTACTCCTCTTTAAACCTTCAACTATACTCTCTATGCAATTAACTTAAATATATGTTTCTGGTATTGTCCCCTTTTCTCCCTGATTCCATGAAAAACACTGCTTGTCTAGAATTGCATTAGGCTGGGTACAGTGGCTCACACCTGTTCCTACCACTTTGGGAGGCCTTGGCAGGAGGATCACTTGAGGCCAAGAGTTCCAGACCAGCCTGAGCAAGAGTGACACCCCATCTCTACAAAAAAATGGACAAATTAGCCGGGCGTGGTGGCTTGCGCCTGTCATCCCAGCTACTCGGGAGGCTGAGGCAGGAGGATCAGTTGAGCCCAGGAATTAGAGGTTGCAGTGAGCTATGATGACGCCACTGCACTCTAGCTGGGGTGACTGAAACCCTGTCTCCAAAAACAAAACTGAATTGTTTTCATAAAGTTATCTTTTCCTTTGCACTTTGTTTCTATCAGTGGTTTTTATTTTCCAATTTTCCACATTCAAGAGTGATAATTAGCTTATTATAATTAGCAAATAACATCATAATAAACAATAAACATCTTGTTTATTATCTTTCTTCCTCACTAGAATGTATGCTACAAGAAGGCAGGAATCTTGCTTGTTTTATTCATTGTTGTATCCCTAGCTCCTATTACAATGCCTGGCACAACAGTAAGTGTGCAATAAACATTTAAAATCCATGTGTGAATAAATGTTATTACCATATGCACTACTTACTCACAGGTATGTTGTGAAAATAAGAATACATGTGAAAAGCACCAGATCCACTGTAGCACTACTTAATTTCCTCTCTAATTCAAATCTTCGCAGTCTTAGGACCCTGTTAGTTTATCCTTCGTAATGAATTTCATTTTCCTTTCAATATCCATAGAGACCATCTAAGTTAAATCTTCTCACATTGAAGCTATGGCTTTCGTTTACTCTATGTTTAGTTTATGGTACACATTTTCAGGTTATTCTTAAAGCATTGCTTTGAGCAGATCACCTCTACTCCCTTCGTGCCCTTCAGTGTTCTCCCGCAGCGTAAGGTTTCAGTCCCAACTCAGTGGATGGAGACTGGAGACCTTTCATAATCTCACTAATTTACCCCTAGTCTCTTTTCCCATTACATATGCTTTTTGCCCAAAACATACTAGATTCTTGCTATTCCCTAATGTGACACTTACATTTATTTATTCATTAATTCAGTCAATATTTGCTGTCTTCTTTGGGCCAGGGTCTTTGATATAAAGTTAAAAAGACAATCTCTGGCCAGGGGAGGTGGCTCACGCCTTGTAATCCTAGCACTCTGGGAGGCTTCGGTGAGAGGCTTGCTTGAGCTCAGGAGTTTGAGACCAGCCTGAGTAAGAGGGAGACCCCATCTCTACTAAAAATAGAAAATATTAGCCGGGCACATGGTTCACACCTGTAGTCCCAGCTCCTTGGGAGGCTGAGGCAGGAGAATCACCTGAGCCCAGGAGTCTGAGGTTGCAGTGAGCTACGCTATACTGCACTCTAAAGGCCAGAGGGAGTGGGAGGACAGAGTGAGATTCTGTCACAAAAAACAAAAAGAATCCTTGCTCTCAAGCAAACAATTATGTTAAACATTATAGCAAGATAAAGGCTAAAATGGGTGTTGTGAGTGCACAAAAGGCAACTTCTAACTTGGTTTGGGTTGAAGTCAGGAAAGGCCACCTTGAATTTATACTTGAACTTGACTTTTAAAGAGCAGTAGGAATTAACTAAGATAAGCAAGGAAAGTCTATTCCAGGACAAGGGGAACAAAAGCAAAAAGGTCTAGAGAATAGAGACAAGCTTCTGGGTGAGATTTGTGAATATTTCAATGTCTAAAGCAGTGAGTATTGGTGCTAAGAGGCTGAAGATTAGCACCAGCGAGGTCAAGAAGGCCTTTTGTAGCTGGGCACGGTGGCTCACGCCTGTAATCCTAGCATTCTGGGAGGCTGAGGTGGGCAGATTGCTCAGGGTCAGGAGTTTGAAGCCAGCCTGAGCAAGAGCGAGACCCCATCTCTACTATAAATAGAAAAATTAATTGGCCAACTAATATATATATATATAGAAAAAATTAGCCGGGCATGGTGGCTCGTGCCTGTAGTCCCAGCTACTCGGGAGGCTGAGGCAGCAGGATCGCTTGAGCCCAGGAGTTTGAGGTTGCTGTGAGCTAGGCTGACGCCACAGCACTCACTCTAGCCTGGGCAACAAAGTGAGACTCTGTCTCAAAAAAACCCCAAAAAACAAAAAAAGAAGGCCTTTTGTGTGCAGCTACATCCTCCATGTAAATACCCTGAGGGCAGTAGGAATCCAGGAAGAATTTTAAATACAGGTGTGACTAGTTTTATTTTTACCTTTGCTCTTGTCCCTATGCCTGAAATACTTCCTTTTCTCCTCTTTCCTTAACCACACACCTACCTCCACCTGTCTAAACACTGCTCATCTTCCAAGGATCACAACAGATTCTGTGTCCTGCACAAAATCTTTATGGTCAAAATTAATTTCACTCTTCTCTGTGTACCTATAATTTTCTAAGCCATTTAGGCTTGAAATGTAAAACCATATATTAAAAAAACCTGCACTTTAACAACAACGTAAATGGGAATTTTTAAAAAGAAAAATTAATCATATAACCCTAACATAACATTTTCATTTTTATACATTCTTTTCTAAAATTATAGATTTCATCACATTTAATAGCTGAACTCATGTGATATATATAATTTTATTGTGTTTTATATTATGTCATCTATTGGATGATGTTTTGAAATTATCATTTTTAACAGACATATGTATTTAGCCATTCCCATATAATTGGATGTGAAGTTTGTTTTTAATTTTTAGCTCTGTATTGGTAATATAATAATATAATTTTCACATGATTATATCTTCCCTCTTTTTCTTGTTTTTACTGTTTCCTGTTGGGACTCTTTCCTTATGCCAAATTCTCAATAGTGGGATTACTAATACAAAATATGTTGAATTATCTTTGATTTCTGACCTTTTCTCCTCCCTAGTCAATTACCAAGTGTTGATTCTTTGATGATGTATCTGGCATCAGTCTCTTCCACTCTCACTGTTTCAGCCTGTTCTGCCCCTTCATGCCAGAATTGTTGCAGTCTTTTTTCCCTGTTTTCCCCAGTCTCTAGTATTTTTCTTTTCCAATCCACTGTCTTATGATGCTAGATTAATTGCCCTAAAACACAGCTTTGCATAAAGGATTCATTCATTTATTCAAAGCCCTAAAACAATAGTTTGGATAAAGGATTCATTCATTTGACAAATATTAATGAATGCATGCCATGTGCCAGATGTTAAACCCCTTAACTGGTATTCAAGGTCTGAACATTCTCCCTTCATCGCACTAGTCCTCTCTGTGGCTAAGCCAGACTGGTCTATTTGCCAACTTCTGAAAATGCCATATATGTGCCCATGTCTGAATTTTTGCTTTAGAATGAACTTCTGTTTCAAATCTACTTTGTTTCCCTTTTCATTTAGTTTGACCTTTTTCTCAAAGCCCAGCTCTGGTCTCAGTCCTTCCTCCACAAAGCTTCTCTGTTGTTTTTTTTGAGATGGGATCTCACTCTGTTGCCCAGAGTGCAGAGGACCACAGTGCGATCATAGCTCACTGTAACCTCAAACTCCTGGGCTCAAGCAATCCTCCTGCCTCAGCCTCCCCAGTAGCTGGGACTATAGGCATAAGCCACCATGCCTGGCCCCTAACATTCATTCTAATAACTCCTTGGTGTTCCATTGTGCGGATAAACTAAACCTATTTAATCATTTATTGATGGCCATTTAAGTTGCTTTCAGCTTTTTGCTAATTTAAATCATGCATCAACAAACATACTTTACATATATCCTTATATATGCTTATATATCTATAGTATGGATTCCTGAAAGTTGTCATATTTTTTAAGATGCATCAAAATAAAATTTCCCCTTGTCTGCAACATCATCTCTGGTCATTTATCCTTCTATAGTTCTTGTTTTTGCCTCTTTTTAGCCTCTTGTTCGTTTATTGCCTTTCATGTTCCCATACTTGTTGCCTTGTGTTTTTGAAAAATTTTTCCTCTGTGCCTATCCTGTCTTTCCAAATAAATTACCACAATAGAAGCTCCTTAAGGGCAAGAATGGTATGTTGTACAGTGTATAGGCACTCAGTAAATAATGATGAGAGAGGGATTGAGGGTTGATATGTGGAAAGGTGCTTTAATGGTTACATTTGGTGGACAGATGGGTGCTGAGGGAAGAAATGTACATTTATGCATTCTCTCATGTTGAGAAATGTTTGAAAATAAGAAAGAACAACTCTCGAGCTTAATTTTTCTCATTTTAGGCAAGTACATCGCTTCAACACAGAGACCTGATGGGACCTGGCGCAAGCAGCGGAGGGTGAAAGAAGGCTATGTACCCCAGGAGGAGGTCCCAGTGTGCGTGGTTAGGCTTGAGGAGGGTTTATTTATTGGGTTGCCTCCAGAAGGATAGAATATTCTTATGCCCACAAGTTCAGGGAAGGCTCTCCTGAGTCCTAAGGAAATGGAAGGAGGGCAGATATTTGAGAAAGGAGAGAAAGGGGCTTGGATTTAGGGATGAGTGAAGGTTATAGGTGACTAGTTCTGTTCTATGACCTCTGTTTTCAGAACCTCCAAATAGCATTCAGAAATCCAGAGCTTCAGGTTCTAGGGACCCTCCTACAACCTCTCCTGCAGAGCAGAGGAAAGTTGGGGAGGGACCATAAAGAGAGGAAGGAAGCAGGAATATAATAAGAGTGAAATGATTTGGAAGGTTAAGAAAACAGATCAAAAAGTCAATGATTCTTTGAAACTTTGTTGACATCTTCTGTTTCCTGCAGGTATGAAAATAAATATGTGAAGTTTTTCAAGAGTAAACCAGAACTGCCCCCAGGGCTGAGCCTTGAGGCCACTGTTCCTGTCACCCCATCCAGGCCTGAAGGTGGTGAACCAGGCCTTTCCAAGACAGCCAAACGCAACCTGAAGAGAAAGGAGAAGAGGCGGCAGCAGCAAGAGAAAGGAGAGGTAGAGGCCTTGAGCCGGACTCTTGATAAGGTGTCCCTGGGAGAGACAGCCCAACTCCCTGGTGCTCCACAGGGCTCCCGGGCAGCCCCCACAGCCGCCTCTGACCAGCCTGACTCAGCTGCTAGCACCGAGAGAGCCAAGAAGATAAAGAACCTAAAGAAGAAGCTTCGGCAAGTGGAAGAGCTGCAGCAACGGATCCAGGCTGGGGAAGTCAGCCAGCCCAGCAAAGAGCAGCTGGAGAAGCTAGCAAGGAGGAGGGCACTGGAAGAGGAGTTAGAGGACTTAGAGCTAGGCCTGTGATGCCTTTGGGAAATAGGGATTGGACTGCAGAACAAACCATGGGGTTCTCTGGGGCTGGGGGAATGTGGGCAGCCGCAGTCAGGAGGGGTAGCCCCCATACTGGCTCACTTCCACTTCTTGCAGCCCAACTCTGTCCTCGAGAGCCTGACCTCTCCCTCATTCCTTCTCTTTTCTCCCCAGCTCCTATTTTATGGACTTTCCCTCTCCCATCCCCAGTGTTCAAAATCTCAGTGACTACCCCAGGTACCTTTGCTGCTGATTTGGGTTTCTTGTTTAAAAGAAAATCGGGTGGGTGGGAATCTCTCAGAGAACTGAGGTTGAGGGTAGAGGGAGTATGCCCAAGTCTTGGGCTTGGTTCCCGTTCACAGTGTTCATGGGTTATTTCCCTCTCCGTCCCTCACCTTTTTATTTTTTTTTATTTTTTAAAGAACAAGAATAAACTCAAGTAGACAACATATGGCTTTGCCTTTCTTTTCAGCTCCTAGTAGGTGTTTTATCTCCTAAGTTTGGCATAGGAAAATAAGTGTTGTGAGTAGAGACCAAGGGAGGGGAAGTACCGTGTTTCCCCGAAAATAAGACCTACTCATAAAATAAGCCCTAGCAGGATTTCTTTTTTGCCACAGGCTTGAACTTTATTTGCCCACGAGCGTGGGCCGCCCGCGTCCCTCAGAAGATCTTCAGCGACTCCAGCTGCACGTCCCCGCCCACCTCCACCAGGCGCACGGGCGCCGGTGGCGGAAGTGGTGGAACTGCGCGTCCCCCACCACGGCCTTGAAGTCGTCGGTGGCGATGAGCAGCACCTCGAAGGGCTGCCCGCGCTGGAAGGGGATGCCCGGGCCGCGCTCCTCCCGGCCCCAGGCGCCCTGCTCCAGGCTGTTGAAGACGACAACGGCGGACTCCTCCAGCCGCGGGTTGAAGTGCAGGGCCGCGTCCGCGCCCTGCTCCTCGCTGCACAGCAGGTTCACGTGGAACCTGCCAGCCTTGTCAGGGAGGAAGCCTCGCAGTCTGAGCACGGTGCCTGGGCGGAGGCCCTCGGGCAGTGAGGTCCTGTTCGCCATGGCTGGGACCGGGACAGGCAGCAGTGGCCCCTAGCAGGATTTCTAAGCATTTGTGCAATATAAGCCCTACCCCGAAAATAAGATCTAGTGATGGGTATGGCTATGTGGGGTATCTGCACAACCCATGCATTTTGTCTCAGAGTGGTAAAGAAGAGGAGCAGCCCTTATCTGCCCCATGAGAGCTCTCTTGCTCGACATAAGAGATTGGGGCCAATGGTTCTAAAGGAAATAGAGTCGCAAGAAATTCAGGATGGAATTCGGGGTTTGGAGGGTTATGATGATGTTCCAGAAGAAGACGACTTAACTATATTTGAATAAATGTAGATTGTTGTACTGTACTTAAAAAAAAAATCCCCTGAAAATAAGCCCTAGGGTGTCTTCTTGAGGAAAAATAAATATAAGACTTATTTTCGGGAAAACACAGTAGCTGTAATGAACTGTCTCGGGAGTTCAGAGTTCTTAGCCTGACTCATAAGGTCCCACATAATCTGGCTCTACTTAACTTCAGTGTCATTTTTTTCCATTCTTCAGTTCTCGTGAAACTCTATGCTGCAACTATACTGGACTACTTTCAGTTCATCAAATGAATCATTTGTCTGTGAGCCTCAGTTCTTTGCCACTGCTTTTTCCTCTGCCTAAAACTACTCTTCCTGGCCTCCTCTCCCTAATCAACACTTTCTTAGCCTTTGGCTCTTAAATGTTATCCTTTCTGGGAAGGCTTTGCTTCCCTCAAATATTAATTTAGGTGATCTTATTTGCTTTCATTATACTCTCAACTTACTTTTGTAGTGGCATTTCATTATATTGTCATGCTTATTTACTTGTCAGCTCCTCATTATTTTTTTTTTTCTTTGAGACAGTCTTGTTCTGTGACCTGGGCTAGAGTGTCATGGCGTCAGCTTAGCTCACAGCAACCTCAAACTTCTGGGCTCAAGCCATCCTCCTGCCTTAGCCTCTCAGGTAGCTGGAACTACAGGCATGTGCCACCATAACTGGCTAATTTTATCTATTTTTAATAGAGATGGGGTCCCACTCTTGCTTAGGCTGGTCTTGAACTGATCTCAAGCAATCCTCCCACTTCAGCCTCGCAGAGTACTAGTATTATAAGTGTGAGCCACCACACCTGGCCTCATTAAACTATTAAACATAGCCCTGTTTATCATCATTGCACCCCCAGTGCCTGACATAATCAATCCTCAAATATTTGACTGAATGAGACTGTAAGACAGCCAAGCAGTGAGTACTGGAGTGGGCACCTCAGAATGAGACTAAAAGCCTGGATTCCCTTTCATAGGAACCTACACAAAGATTTTATAAATAAGATTTAATTGGCTTATATATAGGTGTTTGATGTTTTGTAAGTAAGTTCAGATATTTTATAGGAATCTGTAGTTTAAAAACCATTATTAGGGAGAGGTTATTTGCTTTGCAAAAAGATTTTACCACAGTAAGTCTTTAATTTTGGGAATTTTTAGTGGTTTAATAAAGGTTTGTTTTGATATTTAGCGGACAGTGTCAGTCATTGTGCTAGCCTGTGGAGGGATACAGTCATGAATACATGGTTGACCCTTCACTTAAGAAGCTGTTAAATTGGCCGGGGTGGCTCACACCTGTAATCCTAGCACTCTGGGAGGCCAAGGCAGGCAGATCTCTCAAGGTCAGGAGTTCGAAACCAGCCTGAGCAAGAGCGAGACCCCGTCTCTACCAAACTAGAAAGAAATTAATTGGCCAACTAAAACTATATAGAAAAAAAAAATTAGCTGGTCATGGTGGCATGTGCCTATAGTCCCAGCTACTTGGGAGGCTGAGGCAGAAGGATTGCTTGAGCCTGGGACTTGGAGGTTGCTGTGAGCTAGGTTGATACCACGGCACTCTAGCCCGGGCAACAGAGTGAGACTCTATCTCAAAATAAAAGCTATTAAATCATGTAAATCACTAAGTACTGGGCAGAATGAATTTATTGCTGTGGTAGAGGTATCAACAATGTGTTGAGGGAGAGTTAAGAAAGAAACACAATTTATTCTCAGGGAGATAGGGAGGCCTAATGGTTGCCTCAGTTTGGGCTGCTATAACAAAATATCATAGACTAGGTGGCTTATAAACTACAGAAATCTATTTCCACAATTCTGTAATGGCCCAAAACTCCAAGATAAAGGCAGTGGCAGATTTGGTGTCTGGTGAGGACCTGCTTCCTGGTTCATAGAATGATGCCTCCTTGATGTGTCCTCACAGAGAGTGGTGAGGCAGCTCTCTGGGGCTTCTTTTATAAAGACACTAATCGCATTCATGAGGGCAGCCCTCATGATCTAATTACCCAAAGTCCCACACCTCCTAATACCATTACATTGGTGACTAAATTTTCAACATATGAATTTTAAGGGGGGGTATACAAACATTCAGACCAAAGCAATGGTGGAGGCCAGAGGCTGTGGCTCATGCCTGTAATCCTAGCACTCTGGAGGCTGAGGCGGGAGGATCGCTGGAGCTCATGAGACCAGCCTGAGCAAGAGTGAGATCCCATCTCTACTAAAAATAGAAAAAATTAGCCGCGCATGGTGGCATGCACCTGTAGTCCCAGCTACTCGGGAGGCTGAGACAGGAGGATCACTTGAGCTCAGGAGTTTGAAGTTGCTGTGAGCTAGGCTGACACCATGGCATTATTGGTAAATATCAGGGAAATGGGCACACTCATATTTCTGGTGGTGCAAATTGTTAGTTTTCTTGTAGGGACAATTTGTTAAAAATATTAGAGGCCTAAAGCCAAAAAATGGAAAAACCCAAGTTAGCCCATCCGTTAACTAGCAATCAACAGATGAATGGTTAAAATGTGGTATATACATACAAAGGAATATTATTCAACCATAAAAAGAAATAAAATTTTTTTGAGACAGAATCTAGCTCTGTTGCCTGGGCTAGAGTGCTGTGAAAGGTCTAAGAAGATGCATTTTTCTTTGAGACAGTAATTGTAAGAATTTTTCCTAAGGAAAAAACAAGGGGGTATGTAAAGATTTAGTCACATGGATATTTTGTTAAGAGTATTTTTAAGCCAGGCATGGTGGTGCATGCTTATAGTCCCAGGTTATTTGGGAGGCTGAGGAGGGAAGATGGCTTGAGCCCAGAAGTTTGAGTTGCAATGAGCTATGACTGTGCCACTGCACTCCAGCCTGGGTGACAGAGCAAGATCCTGTCTCAAAGAAAAAAAAATGATGACAAAACCTGGTTTGCAACATTGTTATGAAAATTAAAAAAATGAGACCATGAATATGAAGGTACTGTGTAAACTATAATGCCAATACTAAAAAAGTTATTTATACTAAATTATAAAGTTATTTATTATTAATGAAGATTTTTGTTTTTTAGTCTTTTTGAGACAGGATCTTGCTCTGCTGCCTGAGCTAGAGTCATTTTTGCCCACCCTGGCTCTGTAAGCTGTGTGCAAGCTGCTCCAGGAATACATGCCAGGTGGCTGAGGTGTGGGGAATGGGTAGCTATTATTACTGTAATAAGAACTGAAATTGGCTTAAAGAAGCCACAATTTACAGTCTAAGCCATGCCCTGGAAGTTGCAAGCATTCAATAGACTCCAGAGTTCCAAAATAGGAACACCAGATAGATTCTGCCAGTGCAATTGTGTGGGTGGGGAGACAGATTCCCATTGCTTCCTACTCTGCCATCTTCCCAGAACCCTTACATAATCTATTTATTTAATTTTTCCCACTTGGTAACATCCCTCTGGGGCCTGCCTGTATGTGCTTAAGTCTGGACTGGCTGCTTTCTGGGCCTGCTACAAAGAGATATCCTGGGATTTTCTTTTTCCACAATCCTAGGAATGATCTTTAACCATCTCATGGGTAGAATCCTATTTCCCTGCTCTCATGCTTTCCTTTTTCCTGGCCTACTTTTTTTTTTTTTTTTAGTGGAGAACACCTTACTGAGAAAAGGTACATAGGATATAAATTTTTGGAAAGCTTGTATTTCTGAAGATGCCTGTATTCTATTCTAATACTTGATTTATAGTTGGCTGAGTATTTGTGAACTAAAATAAAATCTTAAGAGTCCTTCCCACCCAGCTGACTGAATAGACCCCCTCTTGGCCAAGGGGACTCTGGAAATACCCTAAAGCTGAGTTGCTGGCCATGAGAAAGGAGGTCAGACTCACTTCATCATGCCCCCCTTCCCTTCTTGGAGATATCCTTTGTAACTCATTAACAGGCCTAAGGCTATACAAGACAAAACTTAAATCAGACCTGCAGGTCATCAGTTTACTTAATAGATCACTTGAGCCTGGGTATATGCCCAGTGGCTTGTCTCTGATTAACAGACTTCCTTATCTTAAGTCAAGGATTTCTTTTCCAATCACTCTGGATCTTTATACAAAGCTTAACTCTTTCAGCCA